AAAAATATCTCTGGTTTCAAGTCTATATGCTTTTTTGTCATTTTTTCCAACCACATGTGGATTTTAGTCCAGTATTTTTTAGCATCCGCACAAGTCCACCACACATGGTAATATGAGCCAGGTGTCTGGTGACATTTCCAACATTTTTCGGATTTATTCTTGAACATTCTTGCTATTCTTGTCGGGGGGAAATGCCACCTGTAAAACATCTTATACAAATTTTCTTTATATGCTGTTGACATTGTCATTTTATAATTTTGAGACCACAATTTTTGCCATTTCTCTAAATCAATCCCATATCCAAAATTCTTCCCCCAAGCAATCATAGTTTCTTTAACTTGTTCTTCTTCTAGTTTAATTTCTAATAAATATCCATACAATTTTTTAATCATCTTTTCATCAGTACCTGTCAAAATCTTGTCTAAGTCAGTCAGTTTATCATAGAAACCTTCTGTTTTAGAATCTTTATCATACCTTGAATGTATTTGCACATATGAAAACCAATTCATCTTTATACCTTGTTCCTCTAGTGTTTGCATAGATTTAAGTTCACCCTTTTCATTCAATATTTCACCATATCTGTTTGTTCCTTTTTGTATATTACAGGATATGAAAATGCTTCAATAGTCGATAACCAGACTGGAATTTTCAAATAACATTGTCTTTTAATCTTCTCCCAGTTTAACCACAGAGACTCCCGTATATAATGTCTTCTAAAATACCCCTGTGTTTTAGTTCCTTTGTACCATAAAAAAGCATGCCACCCCAACAACAAATCATGTCCTTCTAATGTCAACAATCTAGTATTTCTTAGTGTTATCCATTCCTTAACCCACATTAAATTTGTAGCTTGGTAATACAACTCCCAATTAGGCAAACCAAATCCTCCTCTAATTCTAGCATCTTGCAAAGGTTTTAACTTTATTCTCGCTTTCTTACCTTGCCATGTATATTTCAACACAATTTTATTTAAATCTTCAAAGTAGTCTTTTCAAAGCCTAATTGGAATTGTTTGAAACAAATATAAAATTCTGGGTAATATATTCATCTTGATTGTTGAAATTCTCCCTATTAGTGACAGTTGTAAGTTTTCCCATTTTGCCAAATCTAGCACTATCTGCTGTTTAAGTTTAATATAATTATTCTCTTTTAATGTACTACATCTTGCTATCAAATATATCCCCAAGTACTTGATCTTATTCATGACCTGAATTTTCAATAGATCTGCCAGTTCTTCCTTTTGTCTTAATAGCATATTCTTTGTCAAAATCTTTGTCTTATCTTTATTTATTTTCAAACCAGCCACCTTTCCATATGTCTCTATCTTTTCTATCAATTTTGATGCTGTTTCTAAAGGGTCTTCTAAGATGAAAACCAGATCATCTGCAAATGCTTGCAGCTTAAATTCTTCCTTTTTGATTTTCATTCCTTTTATATTCTTTTCATCTCTAATATTTCTGTTTAACACTTCCAAAGTTAGCACAAACAACAAAGGTGATAGTGGGCACCCTTGTCTTGTTCCTTTTCTTTTCTTATATTAATAGAGTCTGTCAGTTCTCCCTCTATCATTACCTTTGCTGTTTGCTTATAGTATATAGCTTCTATTGCTTGAATAAATTTTCTAGCAAAACCCATCTGTTCCAACAGTAATAACATGAATCGCCAATTCACATTATCAAATGCCTTCTGTGCATCTAAAAATATCAGAGCCATTTGTTTTTCAGGATGTGCCTCGTAGTATTCCAAAGTATCCAAGATTACTCTCATATTGTCTTTAATTTGTCTCTTTGGCAGAAATCCATTTTGATCAGGATGAATAAAATTATTTAAATATTTTTTAAGTCTTTCGGCCAATATTGAAGCAAAGATTTTATAATCTGCATTTAGTAGAGAAATGGGTCTATAGTTCTTAATTTGTAATGGGTCGGCCTCCTCTTTTGGAATAAGTGTAATATAGGCTTCTGACCATGATTTAGGTATCTTCTTCTTTAACATAACTTCATTCATAACTTCTAGCAATGGAAGATTCAACAATTCTTGTAATGTTTTATAAAATTCTGCTGGAAGTCCATCTGGACCTGGTGCCTTTTCATTATTTTGCTTCTTGAGTGCTTCAGTTAATTTTAGAGTCAAATAAACTAATGAAAGAACAAAGCAGCAACTTAGGTGATCGCTCAATGCCAGCTTTTATTTTGGAGATCCTAAAAGAAATGCCTAAAAAACCCATTCCTTTGCTAAATTTAGGACTCATTCATGATGACAAAAGCTTCTATCAGATCAAGTTCTCATAGTCCTGCTTTTTGTCTGGACTATCTTAAACTCTAACAGAAGGTGGGAGAAAGGCATATAAAACTCCCAAATTATTAGCAGAATAAGAGAGTTGGAAAGGAACTTGGAGGTCTTCTAGTCCAAACTTCTGCTCAAGCAATAAACCCTATACCATTTCAGGCATTTTTCCAATCTCTTCTTAAAACCTCCAGTGACAGAACACCCAACATTTCTGAAGGCAAGTTAATTGTTCCACTAGTTAATTGTTCTCACTGCCAGGAGTGGTTAATTGTTCTCACTGCCTTAGTTCTAGGTTGGTTCTCTCCTTCATTACTTTCCATCCATTTAATCTTTTCCTGCCTTTGGAGGTGCTTTGGAGAAAAGATTGACCTCTCCACATCTTCTTGTGGCAGCCCCTTAGATATTGGAAAACTGCTATCATGTCACCCCTGGTCCTTCTTTTCATTAAGTTAGGCAGAACCAATTCCTGCAACCTTTCTTCATATGTTTTATCCTCCAGTCTCTTAATCATCTTTGTTGCTCTTCTCTGCACCCTTTCTAGAGTCTCAACATATTTTTTTATATTGTGGTGATCAAAACTGGATCCAAAATTCCAAGGATGGGTTTATGAAGGGGTATTCACATGATTATAGTTCTTCAACATGATTATAATTCTATTCCTCTATAAATGCAGCCTAGGATTTTAGATAGATGAGCTTCTGAATATAGAAACACCCAAGGATCCAAGTAATAAAATCAAGAGATCTTCCAGATCTGAATATCTTTATTGACTGATTTATGTGATTCATCTACTGCCCAAAGTCTATCAGAAATTCTTTTAAAAATCTGCTCCCAATCTGAATCTAGAAAACATAAGATTGGCAGGCTTCAAAAGGAGTGAGATGCTGAATTAATGGTTTCTCTAGACACAGTGCTGTTTGTATGGCACTGAAAGTTTTAAAGAAGAGAACCATTTATCTGAAATGGGATAGGGCTTCCTCTCTGAGCAAGGTAGTTAGACTAGAAGATCTCCAAGGTCCCTTCCAACTCTGTTATTCTGTTTTCTTCTGTACCAATATGAGGTTAAGGTGGCAGATTTTCTTCTCTTCACAGATGGGGCCCAGTCCCAATATGAACTTAAAATTTATTTCAGCCCACAGCAAGTTCAAATAACAAACAGTGCTAGAATGATTTGAAAAAATATGGAGGAAGAAGGTGAATTGCCAATTCCTAATGGAAAGTTAACTTCAGGAATGCCCAACTGCTAGGCAATTGTGCAGTAGCTGTCCAAATGAAGTTGGAGACACTGATAAAAACTTGTAGTTTTATATAAAGAAATATAGGTATCATTTATAACAGATAAGATAGTCAGGAACACAGGAACATCATGAGGTAAATCAAAAAGGCAGGAGAAAAAAAAAGAGAAACTCCCCCTTTACACCCCAGTAAACAATCATAGCTGGGTAGATTGCCTCATGCGTGAGCCAGCATTCTCCAACTCATCAACTGCTTGTACCCATTGTACACTTTACTGTTCCAGCTAGTAAATTTAATAACCTAACACCAACTCTTTGTACTGATTCCTGTGTCCTAGCTACCAGTTTGAATCCAGGTGGCCTTTGGTAGGATTTCAAATTGATCTCCAAGGCCCCAAATTAACCACCTGGCATCCCGGCCAGTTGTGACAGTCAGATGAAAATGTCTGGCAGCTGAAAGATTTAAAGTGGTACATCATCCACTGGAAAAAGAAATAGTGGTCACCTTCAAAGAATCTTTCAAATGCTAATTCAAAACAAAACAAATAGAAACGGAATCTACAAATTAATCTGGTTTTCTTCTATTGCCTTGGCAGGAAATTTCTTGCACCTAGTCAGTTGGAAGATTCATTTTTTTCCATAGCAACTTGCTTGTTTCTTTACAGTCCAAAATGGAGCTGAATAAGAGGAAGTAATAACTGAGTTGCAAAGATGAGGACATATATTGAGATGCTTTGATTGGGGGGGTTCTTCTCCTAAGGGAGGCATGGTTCATGGTGGTGTGTGGGTCTTGATGTATGATCTGTTTAAGCCAACATGAATTTCTGTTCATCCCATACATTTTATCTGCTTGTTATTATGTGCTTCTTTCCCTTCAATGGATATTGCTGTTACATTTTCCCAATTTTTTTCACCTGTAAGCTGGGCAATATATAAATTTAAATTTGTTTAATAAAATAAATAAGGAATCAATTCATTCCCATTTTCTCTTCACCAGCATGAGGTTTCAGAGCACTTGCATTAAATTCTTCACCTCTCAAGTGAAAGCTTACAATTTGTGATATATCTCCATATTTGTAAATAAATATGCATCTCATTTGAATGGATACAAGGAAGTAAAATTAATCTAGAATTTTGTTTTCCAGAAATCCAGTTCTCTTTAAGCTGAGATTTAGTAGTAAACAATAGTTAATTTTTTTTTGAAGAAAAAGAATATTTGCACATCAAAATCTGAACTATAGGGCTAAAGCAGAAAGAAGGGTGTGAAGATTTTACAGTTTCAGCACACGAAGAACCTTATCATTGTTTTATTTTTTTAAAAAAATCTTGATCTTGAGGTCTGTCTATCCCATGCACTAATTTAATTTAATATTTCAGATATTTCCAGATGATGGATTGCGCTAATGGTACAATATAGGTATTTCATATTTATCTTTTTCACTAATTCTATTTGAGTAAAGAAACAAAGAAATCAGAATGGTGACAGTTCCTTGGAAATTCTCTCTCCACTATTTCACAGGTATGGTATGGAGCAGTATTTTTCCAACTTGGCAAGTTTAAGAGGCGTGAACTTCAGTTCCCAGAATCCTTCACATTATTTGTGTCAATTCTCCTGGTGCCTGGGAAGGAACTGAATTGAAATCCATACACCTTTAAAATTATCAAGCTGGAAAAACATTAATGGGGTCTATTTTGCCTAGAACACACAAGTCTACTGGAGAATATCTCCATAGCAACTTCATCTTCCTGTATTTATCTTTCCCTTTGCAGATCCTCCCAAAGCCCCCAATGTTTTCCCACTGATTCCTACTGGCCCAACCCGGGTGGCCAGGGTGACTTCCACTGGCTTCAATGTTAGCATTGGTTGCCTCATCAAAGGCTACTTTCCTGAACCAGCCACAGTACAATGGAATTCAGGTGCCATCATCAGTGGAATCCACCACTTCCCTCCAGTTCGGCATGCATCCAGCCACACCATCCTGCTCACCATCCCTGCCACCCAGTGGGAATCTGAGTTATTCTTCTGCAATGTGGCACATGAAACCACCAACCCAAGAATCAACAAACATGTTGGCCATGAGTCCAGCAAAATTACTCTTCTCCTTTTTCTTCTCAAAGGGCAGTTGATTTGATCAGAGAAAAATTAACCACTGAATACAACATTGGAAGGGTGGGGAAAAGATTTAGCATTCAGAATAAGATCAGATTTTTTCTTAGGACCAAAAGTCATACAGTACAGAAAAAAAGGGAGCCTTTTCAATGTGACTTGCAAGGTGTGATTGGTGTGAAGATAGAAAAATTTGGAGCTTTCTAATTTGGAGAAGGAAAAATCCAAGTAAAGCCATTTGATGTTTCAATAATGAGGGAACAGATTTCCAAAATTCATGATGGATTTCAGTGCAATTTGTCTTGATACTTTTCTAAAGGTTTAATGGCCTTTTTTATCCCTGTAGCAGATTTATCAATATGAAACTTTTGGCACTGTAAGTCTTCATGTCCCTTTTCTTGCATTTTCTTGCTGGTCACATGAGAAGCAAATCGTCATGCATCCAGAATTAGTGGCTGTGACTGAGGAAAACAATGGGACCTTCACTGCTGTCAGCCACCTCCCTGTTTCTGCCCATGATTGGGAATTGGGAGAGATTTTCACCTGTTCGGAAGAATATACAGGTTTGCCTGGTCCCATCGTGAAGACAATTTCCAAGAGCAGTGGTAAAGAGGAAGCAGAGTGGCTCTCCACCCTGCAAACCAATGAATTTAATTTCTCAATATTTTGGGGGTACAGATGAAAACATTTGCAATACATGGTGGGTACCACCAAGCCAGAGATGGAAAACAGAATGTTCAGTTGTCATCAATTGTCTCCAGTCACAGATTTTCTTTTGTTTCTTCTTCTGATCTCCAAGCAAGGAACTAAAACAACTGAGATATGGATTAGATACGGATACAGATCATTAGAGTTGGAAGGGACCTTGTATGTCATCCATCCAACCCCCATCCACCCAGCAGACCCTACAGCATTTCTGACAGATGGCAGTCCAGTCTCTTCTTGAAATGTTCAAGTGATGAAGCTCCCACAACTTCTGAAGGCAACTTCTGTTCCGTGGGTTGATTGTTCTCCCAGTCAGAAATTGTCTCCTTATTTCCAGGCTGAATCTCTCCTTGTTCAGTTTCCATCTATTATTCTTTGTCTGGCCTTCAGGTACTTTGGAAAATAGCTGCCCTGCAGACATATACATAATGCAGAGTAATGTTAGAAGGCTGGACTTTGGAGTTAAGCCCTTCAGAGGAGTTGCATGTCCTGCCATCAGATGACTCATTGGCCACCTTGGCTGACAAGGCTATATAATCTCTCAGTCAATTCTGTCTAATTATAATTGTGGCTTCCTTGTTAATGTCCCAAGCGAACCAGTCCCCAGTGGTTAGCAATCTAAAATAAATCATTACTTAACACATGGGAACCCATGTACTGCTTCCATTACTTTATCCTAAATGAAATAATATGTGATTGTATCTTTTTTTTTCTTTCCATGTTCACAGAAAGAAGAAAAGAAAAAGAAAAAAGCAAGGCATCCATCATCCATGTCTACCCTCCTATCCCCGGAAATTCACTTCATTAGTAACTTTTCCCCACATCGTACTGATGTCCAGTGGCTAGAGAATGGCATTGCCATTTCAGAAGATGATTACATCAACACTCCAGCTGTGAAGAAAAAGAGTGGTGATTCCTACATCCAGTATAGCAAATTGACAATCCCCGATGCATCTTGGAATCATGGGAACATGTATAGTTGTATGGTTATCCATGAGGCCCTTGGAATGAAGGTCACCCAGCAGACCTTCAGGAAAACTTTCGGTAAACGTTGAAGATTCCACTCAATGTGCAATGTCCTCCTGGATTTGTCTCTCACAGTGTTACCTCCAAATCTTTGTAAATGGTTTACATGCTAATATGTTTTGCTGCTAGCTGAATAAAAGCAAACCAGCTCAGAGCTCTCTTAGGCTGTGCTCTTTTCTTCAACCAAACGGGAAACAAGGCCAGTTTGAGGGACAAATTCTGGACATTAGAACAAAGGCTCAAGGTTGATGTGGGAGAAAAGGGGGTTTCATTCCTCCCTTATCAGTATCAATTTAAGCTCCAAAGTCCTAGATCATTATATGTACAAATCCTTCTCACAGCTCTTCCAGGAAGGAATCCATCCAGACCAAACAGCCAAGGTTCATACTCCCCTGGATATTTGAACCTATCAATCTCCTCCATACTCCTCGCTTCTTTCCATTTGTATGTGCAGTAAAACCACTTCCCCTTATACATTGATTGTGATCTTCTGACACGCAATTCATTCAATTACAGTTAATTAGATTTTCCCATTAAGTTTCTCTTTCATCTCTCTTTGCAAACCGCCACCCATCCTAAATCTTTCAGACAACAAGAGCTGAATGGGAGGTTCTTAGAAGTAATAAATAATCCTTTCAACATCCTTGCAATTGATTTTAATCACATCTATATCCACTGGTAGCTACCATGGCTGGATAAACACTTGGCAATTTTCAACCCAGCAATATATATACCTCACTCTGTTGTTACATCCTCAAGCCCCCAAAACTTTAACCTTAATCTGTCTACCATGCACGTCACTCCATTCCGAAGAGGTCTGTATAGGGATGTGCATAAGTGTACCAGCATGCCTATCATCCCTGTCCTACTTTTCCCATTTATTTGTACTCATTTATTATATATATACTTATACCAGTTAATACTTATATGTTTATATGTTATGTTCATACATATACTTGTTTTCTAATACATGCTTGACAAACTAAACTAAATAAATAAATAAAATAAGAAGGGGACTTGACATCCATACATCTTCAAATTGCCAATTTTAAAGACACTGGTTTAGAGACAATACACAAACATTTTGCCCAATAAGTTTCTTATTATTAAAATGTTCTAATTAAAATTCAGTAAATCTTCTGGAGAGAAAAATTATTGACAGTACTCTTCTAACTATCTGATCAGGCCTCAAAAAAAGAAAAGAAAAAAAACAAGAAAAACTCACCTTGCTACATCAAAGATTACATAAGCTTTATTTACATAAAAAGTAGAAATGTTTCAATGACTCTTACAATAAAAATAAAATTATAATTAATTTATTAATACATTTAATAAATAAGAATAAAATGTTCAAATGCTGATTTCAAAACCAAAAGAAAAGAAACTTGATTTCCAAGCATATTATAACAAACTCCCATCATTTTTGTAAATAAACATTAAGACTTCTCAGTTTCTTATGATATCAAAAAAAAAATTTAAACTTCTATATTTGTCAAGCACCACAAAGTAATCCCTTTTCCCAATATTTCTGAGAATCTGCTCTCTGGTAGGTGAAGGGCAATACAGAACAAGGAACAAGGCCAAACAGATACAGATGCTAAATATTTTTGGAATTTTGGCATTGAGATTTGAGCATGGCCCTCCCAAGCTCCCTTTTTGCTGGCAGAAGCACTGTAGGCCAGTCCTTCACTGTTTTCAGGGCAGCCCCATGGGCCAGATCTGGCCTGCAGGACTTGAGTTCGGCACCCCTGCATTAGGACAATTTCATTATGCCAGAGATAACTTAACAAACATGATGATTTGTTTAATGAGATCAGCCATGTGATGATGTACTTAATGACTTCATGATTTACTTTTGGGGATATTTATTGTTGACTACCTGTAAGGATCTTAAAACAGGTCACAATGACTAAAATGAGACAGTATTTACTGTGTTGATCTTAGGTTTAGATGTGATTGTAGAAGAATAAGATTTAAGTTAGGGAAGACTAACCAAAATCTCACTGGTTGATTTGAGTCAGTTCTAAGATTACCCACTAGTAATCAAATTAGGTCTAAGATAATAACAAACACCAGTTGGAGCAGATGGAATCCATTGAGAGAACTGTTTTTGGGTGGCTATCCATACCGAATTCTACCTTTGTGTTATAGCCAGATTTGTGGCCATAAAGATTCCAGGTTTACGGTGAAATAGTCAAAAGCACTAATTGATGGAGAAATGGATACTGGATCAGCCCCAGGACTGACATCTCTTTCTCATTTCACAGAGAAAACCATCATGTCCATCGAGAACAATTACAGTATCAAGAAGGAAGAAGAGATGAAGCAATTGTGGACAATCGTCGTGATGTTCTACATTTCCTTCCTGATCAGTGTGTGTTACGGTACCATTATAACATTGTTCAGAGTCAGTAAAGAAAGATGTTGTGAAACACATTGGTTTTCATCCTGGCTACAGGATGGAAAGATGCTAGACATCAATATTTGAGGAACAGATGACTAAGAAAAGAAAAGAAATTGTGGATAGATTGAGTAGTCTTTATGGTTTGGGAAGGCTCCAATTGATGGAGGGGGAAGATGTGGAAGATGTGGAAGGGTTGGGAAGAAGACAATTTTTAGTCCTCTCAACTTTAGTCAGTGTATGGCGAATCAGGTGGTCTGATGAGTGGAGGCCTTGATCTCAGGTTGGCACTGATAAAGAGCAAGTGACTGTAGGTTTATCTTTTCAGAGGTTTTACCAGTATACAAGGAGCAAAAAGGGAAAGGGAGTGTATAGCGGACTTTAATGTGTGGCTAAAGGAGTGGTGGAGAAGGGAAGGCTTTGGTTTTATTAGTCATGATGTCTGCAGCTGGTCCAATGAAAAACTGTACAAAAGAGATGGTTTGCATCCATCAAAGAAAGGGACTGAGTTGCTTGGCATTAAATTCACAGATTTTCTGGATAAACGTTTAAACTGAACAGCAGAGACAGAGAATTAATGGATACAGAACATTTCTGTCCCCAGCAATCTAAAATTAATAAGGTTACCAGTGCATGTAGATAGATGTTTGTGCAGGTAAGATTATCCATCTTGCTGTCAAACAAAAACACACATTTAATAGTGAGTGCCATACCATGTGCACTAATCAAACAGGTGGCAAGAAAGTAAGGGCAGTCAGGCACAACACTGGTTATGCAGACAGTAAACATAGTGTCAGACATAAAGATCTCAAGTGCCTATATACAAATGCACAAAATCTGGGAAACAAACAGATGAACTCGAACTATGAATACATGAAGGTAGATATGATATAGTTGGAATAACAGAAACTTTGTGAGATGAAACCTATGATTGGAACATACTGGTAGAATGATACAAACTCTTCAAAAAAAAAACAGACCCCATAAAAGAGGAGGTGGAGTTGCACTTTATGTAAAGGACCACTATAGTGCTACAGAAATTCATCAAACTTCCTAGAATGCATATGGGTCAATATAAAAGAAAAAAAGAATGACATGGCCATAGGTGTATATCATAGGCCACCCAATCAAGCAGAAAAAATAGATATCCTTTTTGCCAACCAACTAACAAACATATGCAGGAAACATACAACAATAGTAATGGGAGACTTCCATTATCCTGATATCAATTGGAAAACTAATTCTGCACCAAGTGAGAAATCAAATAGGTTCCTAACCAACCTAGCTACAACTTTGTTGTCCAAAAAGTAGAGGATGGAACTAGAGGGACAGCCATACTGGACTTAATTCTTACAAACAGAGAAGAAGTAAAGACTCAAGGTCCATCCCACCCCTGAAAGGACGTAATGGTAAAGACTGCAACAACAACACTATTAAAGCCAACCTCTTTAACACATTCTTTGGCTCAGTATTTGTAAACAGCAATGGGTCATGCCCAGTATTTCCTAGTCGAACCACAGACAACTACAGTGATCTAATACATATCGATTTTACAGTAGACAATGTTGAAAAAGCACTATGCAATCTAAAACCATCTCTATCTATTGGACCAGATGGAATATGTGCCTACTTCTTAAAAAAGCTATCCACTGCCATAGCCGAACCTCTAAGCATAATCTTTGAAAAATCTTTCAGGACCAGCTCCTTGCCAAAACTATGGTCACAAGCCAGGGTCATCCCCATATTCAAAAAGGGAGACCTCAGCCTGGTTGAAAATTACAGACCAATCTCTTTATGTTGTATCACCTGTAAAGTCATGGAATCAATTATTAACCAATCCATCATCCTCCACTTAGAGACAGACAACCTACTCTCTAATAAACAATTTGGTTTCAGGAAAAAACTATCCTGTAATCTGCAACTCTTACACTGCAGAAACATATGGACTACACAACTCGATCAGGGCAAAACAATAGACGCAATCTACATAGACTTCTGTAAAGCCTTTGATTCAGTGGTACACGACAAACTACTACTAAAGTTAAAATCTTATGGTATCTCTGGACACCTGCATAACTGGATAGAAGCATTCCTGTTAAACAGACAACAAATGGTCAAAATTGGGAGCGTCCTATCAAATTCTGTATCTGTCAACAGTATATGTATGTATTATATGTATCCATGTATTCATAACTATGTTTTTACTTATACCTATTATCTTGTAAGCAATTGACAAACCAAATAAAATAAAATAAAAAATAAAAAATAGTAGACCAGAGAAATACTGTGGACATAATATTCTGAGATTTCAGCAAGGCATTCGACAAAGTAGACCACAACCTACTTCTTGGTAAGCTAGAAAAAAGTGAAATAGATAGCACCATCACCAGATGCTTTTGCAACTGGCTGACAAACTGTACTCAACAAGTAGTCCTTAATGGATCTAAGTCTACATGGAGGGAAGTAAGCAGTGGGTGCCACGAGGCCCAGTACTCTTCATTAACGACTTAGATGAGGGAATAGAAGGGGAACTTAACAAATTTGCAGGTGATATTAAGCTGGCAGGAATTGCTAACACCCAAGAAGATAGGCTCAAGATCTAGATGGATCTTGACAGACTAGAACACT